AGGGAGCGGAGCGACCAAGTGGGTAGGTATATCGGAAGTTTTATGCGCCATTTTAACGGTGTATATATCGCCATTGAAATATTTGTGTCCAGACACATTGTCAGCTGGTGTTGCTGGGAAGTTTTCACAGAGAAAAATATATTTGAGTAAGACTTCATGGTGTACGGCAGCACGGAAGTGCACGGCTCAAGAAATATATTTATGACTTGAAAGTTCAATCAGCAATTCGGTAAGAGGGCGCCAGCCAAGAGTATCCAGGACGTTGCGTCCCTGTTCAGAAAAACCCTGAATGAGTATTAATTTTGGTGGTCATGGTAATACCGTCAATCAAAGTCTGTTTGCATTGTCGGCAAATAACACAGACTTTTTTCAACAAGATGAAAAACACTGGGCGGAAAATTGCCAGCACCTTATTACACAACAAACAAATAAACTCTGCATGAATGGTTACTCTTTGATGGCTGTCACTACCTGACATTCCTGCAATTTTATTGGTACCGACAAAAAATCGTTGAGGAAAGTAAAAAACTACATCATTCTGTCAGGCTTGTGTTGGGTTAGGAGCACCGTGCAGGGCATAATGCATACGACCTTGTCAGGCTACTGCCAATTTTTCTCTGATTTTCGGGTCGAAACACTTCATTCATTCGCCGCTGATGTATGCGCATATGAGCTGGTGTGCTGTCAAAATGACAGCAAATATATACATGCATAGAGGAATCCATCTACAAAGTTTTTTTTTATCGATCCCTTTGATATACTTTTCTACACTACTATTTAATCGATCATCTTTCTCTAGCGACATCATTTTCGGCATGTATTTCAATGAACAAATTGTATGATGTGATAAGTATCGCGAATATAATTAGTGAGTCTTCAATAGTCAGCAACTGTGGCACCTACAGTAGCAGTAAAGATTCTTCATGATGAATCTTCATGACTGATTAGAAATTCATATAATCATGAGCACCTAACAATTCAACTGTACTATCCAATCATGAGCAAACTGTAGTCAATCAGATAGTAATTATAGGTTTAATTTGTAGCCTGTATTTGGTTAGCACTGAAACACCTGCGTAATGAAGAGCACTTTGTGTTCACTGCATGATCCACAGAGCGGTGTTTGGTTGGTTGGCTGACTCACCGATTTAACTTTCCATTGTACTCCCACCCCTTATCTTAAGTCCAACAAGAAAGAGTTCCTTTTCACCACAAGTTCCCTCTTTTTATCATAAAATGGTCCTGTTTAAAGTCTGCATTTTCCTTAAGAATATTGGGACAAAAATTGCCAAATTTTTGGAGTAAAAACTAAAAATTAACTGAAATTTTTTCTGTTGGCTTCAAAATTAGGGTTCATTTCGAAAAATATTGAAGAATATAAGAAAAAAGTGCAGACAAATTTGGGTGAGAAAGTCTGGTGGTGAAGAGGTTAAGGCCCATGCAGACACTTAACCATAATACTCCAGTCTTTAAATACCCACTAAAATAATTATCAGGTCCTGAAGCGATACATTGGAGGGCAGGATTATGGGTCATGGGGTTGTGAGAAATTCTTACCGTAGAAAGGTATATATTATACATCAAACAATTTATTAACTCATAACAACCTACTGAAGGAGGTTAAAGGTTACAACAACAACAAAAATTACAGATAAAAATTAATCAAATTACAATGCATATGGCTAATAGTTTAAAGACAACCAGAAACAGACTAAATTGAAGTTAGTAACGGAAATATATAATAAAGTAAAATGAAACACCAACAAAAAACTATACAATTGATGGGAGCATGCAGGATCTAGGCTAAGGTTTGAATTAGTAGGGTAACTAGATGGGGGAGGGCTGTAAGGCTTAAGTCTATCTAAAATTACCCCCAACGCTAGAATACATCTTAAAATTTTTGACTTTGTATTTCTTCTTCATCATTAGTACTTTTGTTCAACTTTTCAAAATGTGTTCCCAGCTCCATGGTGTGGTTCATAGCCTTCTTAGCTGTTCGTCCTTTTTTTGTAGTGAGCGACGAAAATGCCGCTGCGTGGCCGAGTAGTACGGTACATTACTGCACATCGATATATGCCAGCTGACTGTGATATTTACCTGTTTATCATTGCTTGAATGGTCTACTCTGACTTTGACGCGAATTACTATCGCCAGAATATACAAGTTTAAACTTCCCTCTTTCCATACACCAAGCGGCCATTGTTGAAATATGCGCATGCGCGGATAACTAGCCTTTCTTCAAGACGAAGTTAAAGGGCGGTGGTCGTCGCGCAGCGCGTGTTCGAATTTCATGTAAATAAACAATGTATTTTACACGCGTTTTATACATCGCTATGAGCTCCAAACAGAACGCGGCCTGACGACTGCCGCCCTTTAAGAGTTTCGTTCAATAAGATGGCTTACAGCGAAAACTTTGCGACAAAATAATTCCCAAAAAAGTGGACAGAATTTATCTACTTTAGTATATAATGTGAATTTACTATTTCTATTTAAAGTATTTAATTGGAATTGGCACAGTTAATGTGCTTATTGTGTATTAGCAAAATGTTGTTTTTAGTCGAGTAGGGAAAAACTTCGATCAAAAAACAAGCTCTGGTGGACGAGAATGTATATGACTATGCACTAGCACATGTGGCGTCAGTATAAATATCGAATGTAGTACACGCTGCAAGGTATCATTATTTTATTTATTGTGTTATGAATTAAATGTAAAACAGCTACCTGGTATTTCTGTGACGTAATATCAGTAATGGATGAAAGTCGAATACTGTTCACATCGTTTACATTCTATCTGATTAAAATATGATCCTGGTTGGCTTAATTTTTTTTAATATTTTTTTTTATATAATTACTATAATTATTATTTATTTTAACTATTTTTTGACGTTACAATTATTTTGCTGCAAGAATGGTTTTGTTCGTGAAAATAATTATAGTAAATAATTAAAATAAATAATAATTATAGTAATTATATAAAAAAAGAATGAAAAATAAATTAAGCCAACCAGGATCTTATTTTAATCAGATTGGTTGACATTATTCTTATTTACATGAGAATAAATTAACAAAATGCATGTCAGAGATTTTCTATATTCTAAGTAAACGAAACAGTTGCTTCGAACGGAATCCCTTTCACCCATGCGTCATATACACCCTTCGTCGCCAGAGGGCGCGACTTTTAAAGAAAGGTCTAAGATTAAAGCGGGGGAGTC